ATTTTAAATATATTGGATTTTAAACTGTCATACAATTTTTTTATCGATAATCTGTAATTGAAACTATAACTCTTATTTATTCAAATTGTATTAATATGTAAAGACCAAGTATAACTTATATCATCGTTAAATCTTATCTTATAAAACCAGTAGAACTTCAAAATCGTTAAAATTCATGGCTCATGCGGTATTGCACGGTGGTTTAACCTAGAATCAAACTATCCACGCAAGTGAACCAACCGGGTCCGGGTGATCCAGACCGGTTCGTGGTCACTGGTCAGTGATCACAACTCACAACCCATTTCTATCAAAACCGAAAATCCTGCTACAGAAATAAAGCCCTACTACGTGAACAAATAAACTGATTTCTTTCAAATTCTTGATTAGATTTCATTCCATTAAAAAACTCCACGATCTCGAAGAAATTCCAGGTAAATCATTGATTCTTTACGTTCCTGATTACTGTTTCATTTGGAAAATTAGATACAGTGATACCGGTTGTGCTGTTGATTTCACTGTATGAACTGAGAAATCAGACGAAAGTTGTTATTGATTGGATTCGAATTAGGAGTACAGTGATCTTGTTTTGAGTTCGTCTTTTAATTTTGTTGATGGAATAATATGGTGTTGTATTTGGATTAAGCTTATTGTTGAGTAATTCAAGTAATAATTGTTGTTCACAGTAACTTGGCTTCTTAGGGTTTGATACTTGTGAGCAGAATTAGGAGTATTAGGACCTGTTTGTTAGCAGCTTAACGAGCGGAGTCACAGCTTATTCAGTTAGCTATACATGACTCTTTGGTAGAGGCTTAATAATATAGAAAATGGGCTTATTCAGCAAGCTTCTAGCGGGAGCTTTATGCAGAAAGCCAAGCTTTTTCCAAACATGCCCCTCCCAATTAGAAAACACGGTCCTTCCATTTATGAAAAGAAAAACCCTCCCAAACAAAAATCTTCACAATCTATTTAGACAGATTAATCTACATAGACAACTTTATCTATTCAGGATTTGATAAAAAACCAACCAAATGGCCCCTAAATTTACAGTCAATTTTATTGGTTTAAGAAGACATACAGTGAAGCAATGTCCTGAGCCCTAAATTTTAGTTTCTATTCACTGCATTCAAAAATTATTGTATCAGTTCGTCGTTTACTGGACTATAGTATGATATAGGCTTAAGATCAATTGTCTCAACTATACGGAAAGTTATGATCTCTCAAAACCACACCATCTCTTCTTATTTCAATGCATCTAGAAACTCGACTGGGACTAGGGTTTGGATTCAATTTACAGTTCAATTTCGAGTCTGAAAGTAGTTTGGCGTAAAGGCCAAAAGCTAGACCAAGCAATCAAGAATGACAAATCATGGAGAAAAATGTGCAAAGGTTGTCAAAGAGGTGTTAAACGAACCTGTTCATGTAATCCCTCTTCAGTATTTGGAGACACGTCGTGAACGATTACGACTTCCCGTCGAAATCAAAATGTTTTTATCTCGAAATATTGGGATTTTTTATGTGTATTATGATTGGATCAAACCCATTACTGAACCTGTTAAGTTTGTAAGGGTTAGTGATCTGCTTCAACGATTTTAGATGAGGAGGAAAGGATTTATCTGGAAAACGAGCCGCTAATTGTTGCTATTTTGTGTGAAATTATTGATGATGGTAAAAAACAATGTAGTTAACACAGATAAATTGGTGTATGTGATGAGGGAATTTGGTTTTCCTAATGATTTTTTGGTGAAATTTGATTCCGAAATATCCGGAGCTTTTAAATTAATTGGGTGTCTAGAGAAGGGCATCCATTTTCAGAGTTGGTTTCTCGGAACCCTGTATTTGCAAGATCAATGATTGAAGAAAGGGCCGATGAGGTATTGGAGTTGACAGGTATAAAGATTAGGCCATCTTTCAATGGAAGCTCCACCATATTCTTTTATTAGGAAAGAAATGAGGGAGTGGATTAGAGATCGGATGTGAGTTCCATATAGGGTTATTAGCTAAATGACCTCCTGACAAGTGCTTATTAAATCCATGACCTTCTGACGAGTTTCTAGGCATTCTTGTGTATGGAAGTGGTATTTCCGGTTAAGCAGTGACATTCTCAAACTTTTCAAAGGGTCATGAAGTTAAAAAAAAACCCTGTCCGGAGGTCATTTAACAAAGGACCCCTTCCTTATATATCACCATATGACGAATGAAGCATCTCAAGAGATGGAGAAGAGGACAGTGAGAATTTTACACGAGGTGCTGTCATTGTCACTATGTAAAAGATTTCTAGTGCCAATATTGGGAAAGTTTCGTGAAGAGTATAAGTTTCAAATGTATTCTTGAGTGTGTTACAAGGCATTCTGGAATCTTTTATGTCACTGAAAGGTGGGATTAGGACAGCAATGCTGAGAGAAGCTTATACGGACAACGAGTTGATTGGTTGACATCAACTACTAGAAATTAATGATAATTTCGTTTAATTATTGGCTGAAGGACACAAGCAAAGGGAAGAACAGCTGAATCTTCAGAGACAAGTAGTTCAAAACAATATGGAAATGGTGGCAATACAAAGCAATCATTGAACAATCTTGGACTTACTGAAAGTGAAGAGCTTTACAGCTCTTGAAATTGTTCTGTTGCCAGCATTGGAAGCTACTATGCACCTTGAAATGTTAATATATATATATATATGTATATGATATATATATTGATATATGTTTTGTTGGAGTTAGAGGTAGTAAAAGATAGCATTCTAGTAGCACCATTGGTTGATAAGCTTATAGCTGACAAGGAAAGTCCTCATCACTTGAGTCATTTTTTTGGAAGTATATAATATTTATATACGGCAAATACTCACGAACACTCAAATTTTTGGTGAAGTTTGAACCCTTGACCTCAGGGAGGCTAGGATTTATGGGTAACTGGGGATACCACTAGGCCAATGGTAAGTCTTGTGTTTCAAGAAAAGCATTTATGCTTTGACTTCTGAGCACAAACTACCTTTCAAATTCGAAAGATATGTAAGCTTTGTTTCTAGTCGTTAGGTGGGGATATTATTATTCGAGCCTATGAACTTTGTTTAAAATGGTGAAACATGTGAACTTCCAGACATAGGTGATGGGCCTATAATCTTTACGAGAAACTGTAAATATGTCTCTAATGGCAACCTTGTATGGTTTTCCGGTAAAACTGGCCATTTAGCTGTGCAGTTGTTAAGTAACATCACACCAACTGAGGATATCATGGTTAGTCATGCCTAATATTACGGTTAGAATTCTCATGGTTTTTTTTCTAAAAAATCAGAAAAACTGTTGAAGATCGCTAGAACAAGCCTAAACCGTGTTATGTTAAAGTTCAATGTCTCATTGACTACTTTCTTAAGTTCATATTCATGTTTCATAGGCTCATGTAATGATATTTCCGTCATTAGGTAATGTTCTTATTGAATTGTGTAGATGTTGATGAATGTAATGACAACTGTGAGCATGTCTTGGTGCCCTCAGCCCTGGTTTTGAGATACTCCCTCCATCCTAAAATAAATGTTACACACAGTTTTAGAAATATTAATTAGTACACTTTTAATTATCCAAATGACAATTTTACCCTTAAGAATTGAGGGAGTAATGAATTTTTCTATCTCGTAATTAAGGGTAAAACTGGAAATTCGGCACTTATTTTTAGAAGTGGACACTACTAAAATAGAAATGTGGACACTTATTTTGGGACGGAGGGAGTAGCTAGTATCCATCCTTTCGGTGTTTCTATCAATTGATGGCTTGTACCATCTAAAATTTTCGGATTTTAGGGCTTGAAAGATGTTCTGGAGCCATATGGACAGGATCTCAAAAATGGGGTCCTCAAAGGAGTTACTCCTTTCTGATCCTGTGTCCGAGCTGGATGGCGATGGCGATGGCGATGGCGATGGGGATGTCTCTGAACAAATACTATATGCGGCTTCTTTCGAAGAATTTGCTTCAAGTATTATAATGTACGATACCATTATATGGGTTTCGATATCATTGTTGCTGGTTTTAGCTTGGGGAGTTGGCGTCATCATGTTGCTCTATCTTCCCATGAGACGTTATGTGCTTTCAAAAGATCTATCTTCACGAGAACTTTACGTTACTCCTTCTGAAGTAGTTTACAAGGTAACTCACAAAACTTCTACTCATAGTTTAAAATCTTCATTTATGTTGAGGCTAGATGTTACTCCATCCGTCCCAAAATAAAGGTCCACAATGAAAAAGGCATACGGTTTTGAAAATGTGTAATTATTACTCTTTTTAATCAACCAAATGACAATTTATCCTTAATTATTAAGGGAGTAATGAATTTCTCCACTCATAATTAAGGATAGAATCGGAAAGTGAGTTCTTACTTTTGAAAGTGGACACTTATTTTGCGACAAACTAAAATAGAAACGTGGACACTTATTGAGTAATAATGTTTTGCTTTTGAAGGTGTCAAGACCATCGTTTATACCCTTTTGGGGGGTCGTTAATCTTGAAAGACGTATACCTCTTGCTCTAGCGATCGATATTATCATTGAACAAGGTATTGGCTTGAAACTCTCTTTACTTGTTTACAATTTTCAAATCTTTTTAGTTTTTTGTTCATTTTGGGTGCGTTTGGTATGCGGGACAGGACGAGACAGAACAAAACACAAATCCATGTTTGGTGTGACATTAGACTGGGTGGAATAAAATGCATATTTTATGTCCCGCCAAAATGGGAGCAACAAAATTCAGTGAAATAGTACAAGATTGGTAAATTACTAAACAACTCATGTCAATTTAAAACGCTAGACCTTGCACAATTCTTTTACTCGAGCAGACTCAAACTACCCCACCCCAAGAACATCATGTGAGAGGCAAACTAGGTACACAACAACCCGCTAGGTGCTTAAGGAATGTGAGATAAAGTAGTTATACTGAAACCCCTTGTATCATTATAAACAAGCTATGGATTGTTTTTATATTGTAAATATCATATTATCTTTTGGAAATAGAATTGGGTTGTTTTAATAAATAAGTGATTTAGTACACGATCAGTCCATCTAAGCTCAATTTGCTTGAACTGAAGCGAACCAATTGGTATGGAAGTTTCTTGAACCCAACTAAACGGAGTCATCCATAGATCTACACTCCTAGTTTGTGCATATGTATGTGCGCAAACACCCGTTTGTGCACATGTACAGAACTTGCAAAAGGATGTGTTCCGTGTCCTATGACTAATTCGACTTGGAAATTGAGTAATATTTTGTCATTGGTAACATGTTCATGAATGTATCTAGTTTATTAAAAGTCATCACATTTATGTTCATCTATCTCTATTTCTATTTGTATTGCTATTGCTTACTCATTGTATCTGTTTTTCTACATTTCTCACACTTTTCATCAGTCGGGGGTCTCTATGAAAACAACCGCTCTACTCTTTAGACCCCACCTTTGGGTGGGATATATCGGGCTCATTTGGTTTGGTTCTAACATGTTCAAGCAAATGTTGTACCTAATTAATTGCATGAAACACTTTTTTACTAGGTTGCTTGCAAGCGATGTTTGGAATTCATACCTTCAGATTCGAAAGTATAGGACAAGGAAAAGCTTCTTATGTTGATGAATTACAACTTCAAGGTGTCTCTAATCCTGAACTTCTAAGGAAGGTAAACGTGAAGTTTTAGACCATATTTTACTCTTCCTCCTCTATGTAGTAATTGTTAAATCCTTGCCAAGAACTTGAAGAAATTCATGGTAATTTTGGAGTTGAGGTTATGTCTGCATACATCTTATACCTCTGAACCCCACCTTCGAGTTGGATATATATTGGTTTGTTAGAGTTGAGGCCAGGACTGCTTACATCTTATCCCTCCGAACCACCCCACCATCGTGTGTGATATATTGGCTTATTTGGTTTTTTGATGTTGAGGCCAGGTCTGCATACATCTTATCTCCTTAACCCACCATCTGTTGGATATATTGGTTTGGTTTGGTTTTTTGGAGTTATGGTCGGGTCTACGTACATCTTACACCTCCGAACCCCACCTTTGGGTGGGATATACTAGGTTGTTGGAGTTGAGGCCACGTCTGCATACATCTTATACCTCCGGACCCCACCATCGGGTGGGATGCACTAGCTTTGTTTGGTTTTCTGGAGTTGTAGCCCGGTATGCATATATTTAATCCCTCTGGACCCTACCATGAGGTGGGATATAGATATACTGATTTGTTGGAGTTGAGGTCAAGTCTGCATACATCTTACCCTTGTGGACCCCACCTTCAGGTGGGATATACTGGTTTGTTGGAGTTCATGTCACGTTTGCATCCATCTTATCCCTCCAGACCCCACCTTTGGTGGGATATACTAGTTTGGTTTGTTTCTTGGAGTTGAAGGATGGTATGTGCAACTCAAAAAAATTCTTTTACCGAAGTACAATTAATGTCGTTTTGTATGTTTTAGGTGATAGTAAAAGAAGCTTCAAAGGTTATACAAGATGCTGGTAGAAGTTGGAGAGTCTCAGTCCATGGTGCTGAACCAGAAAGCCCTTCTCATATAAGATCTTTTACAGAGGCATCAAATTTAAGATCACCAAGAAGAAGTTGGCAGGTAATCCATTATATGAACTATTAATCATTTGCTTGATATAAATTTATCTGCTTAATGAACATGGAAATAACAAACATATTAATAGTTTTTGCACAATATTGCATTTTCACATGTGTTGTTTCATACATGAAAACTGGTTTGTAAGTTTGTACAATTTATTGGGTGTAAATGATTGTGCGTAATTTGGTCATTAGTGGCCCAAGCTAGGGTTTAAGACAAGCAGTTGCATTATAGAGTGCATGTTTTGAAAGCTACAAGAATCTTAATATAACAAAAGGGGTGGCTAAATGCACTCCTACATATTAATTTCCTTCTTATATACATCAGCATCAATACCTACTTTTTACATTCACAATACATGATTTGACCTGATTCTGACATAAAAGGGGTGCATATAGCATTAACCTAACAATTCTTTTTTGAAGTATATAATATTTATATACGGCAAATGCAACAAATAAACTCACACACCCTCCTCATCTTTGGTGAGGTTTGAACCCCTACCTCCTACTACGATACCGCTAGGCAAAAGGCCCTTTGGTAACCTAACAAAAACTTGTCCCATGTTTGATGAAACATCAAACTTGGACATGATGGGACCGGGTGAGATAATAATGCATTTTTTTGTGTCAACAGAACTTAGGAAGAAAACAAAAGTGGTAAATTACTAAACTATCCATGTCAAATTGAAATTCTAAAATCTTCTATAATTCTTTCACTCGCCAACCTCCGTCTACCCGTCTAGTCCGGTCCTCATATACTAAACGCATCCTAAGAGATCGATGTGTTCAGTGTTCACATCCTCAACCTCTAGAACAAGATAAGACGAACAATCTCCCTAAAATGACCATTTTCTACTTCTTTGACAAATTTGGGCATAAAGCTGTGTCTAATGTACGATTTTTCAAATCAGACTCCATATCCAACGACAGCATGTGCCTATTTCCTAGATGTGTTTTTTTGTTTCTCGTTTCTAATTGACTTTTTCGTTCTTTTTGGCTCATCAAAATGCAGCAGGCGGTGGGTTCGCCACGAGCATCTTTTGCAGAACAAAGAGGGGTGATTCGTGCAGACTGGCTAATAAACAAAATGGAGGAAGTCAGCAAATCTATGAAGGTATGTATTTTACAAAAAGCAGATTCATGAACAAAGTAGACCTGGTAAGCGCTTACTGGGTAAGAATCATCATCCTCACTTACCGGGTAAGACGCTCCATCCTTATCATTACTCTTACCGGATAAGATTTCAGGTCCTTGCTATGTTCATCTGTAAACGATCCAGTAAGCGTTTAGTAAACGGCCCTCAAGTCTCATAATTTTTTTTGAGTGAATAGATCATTGAACTTTCTTATTTTGAATGATCAAGTCCCTAAACATAAGATAGTATTCAAGGACTTAATCTTTTAAAATGAGAAAGTTCAATGGTTTATTTATTAAAAAAAATTCAAAAACTTAACCAATCAAATGGAGAAAGTTTGTTGAGTTTTTCTGAACTACTCCGAAGAATCAACTGTTTTTTTTAACACAAATCATTATTTAGAATCAAATCCCACATCTTCAATTTTCGACTCGAAACTTGTATTGATTTTTTAAAGAATTTTGGTTCTTAAGTTCATATATATATATATATATATATATATATATATATATATATATAATAATTTAATTTCCATCAGCCTAATCGGGTTGGGTTGACCCCAACTCGATTTTGACTCAACCATGTCAACCTCTAAAATTTAAAGCCGGATTGAATTTCGGTTTAGTTTGTGTTAGGTTCATCGGCCTCTCTGTTTTTGTGCATCCCTACCAAGTTCCATGAGCCAAATATTTGTATATTTTTGTATCTAAATTTTACAATAGAGCAAGCTACAAATTTGGTTCATGTTGTTTGTCAAAAATAACGGCAAAATTTCTAACAACAGTAAGAGGGAGGGACCTAATCTAGACGTTTTTACAAACTACGATGACCATCTTGTAATTTCAAAACTACATGGATGAAAAACTCGTATTTTCAACAAACCATAGAGACAAAAGTTTGTAGTTTAGGGACCGTTTACTAAACGCTTACTTGGTGAGTGCTTATCGGATAAATTTCTTCATCGGATGAATATGACAAGGGCCAAGAATCTTATTGGGTAATGAAAAGTCTTATTAGGTAAATGAAGATGACTACTCTTTCTCAGATAAACGATTACCAGGTAAATTGTTACATCTGATATGTTTTCATGTAGTAAAATCTTACGCATCAAAATACATTATCGGTAAGCATTAAACAACCCCATATTCTTTATAATATAAACAGTCAACTCACTAATACTTACATTGTGAAGGTAAATTTGCTGCAAAAGGTTATTTATCATAGACTATTTCTGATCTCCACATGATCCTAAATCTTTGTTAGTAATATTATTATTGTTTTGATACCAAATTATCAGAAAATAGAGGGTATTGTAAACAAGGCTCAAGCAACTAGTACAACGAACTAAAGAAATACAAGCCAAATTGCCAAAAGCGTGCAAGAAGATTGCAGAGAAAACTCAAGCTACCACGAGTGGTCGTTGTCGTTAGAGAAGCGTTTTTGATCGATTCTTGATTCTCTTTGAAACCCAGAAGAGGTTTCAACTGTTTGTCGATATTTAGAAGTGAAAGTGATGATCATCCTGTAATGTATTTACAATCAAATAAAGGAGTTCAGTTTTTACTTGGAAATTTTGTGAGTTTGTATCAGTAAGTAAAAAGGCAAATCGCATGAGAAAGTAGCGTACTTTTAACTTGATTCTTATTTTCGATAACATACTTTCAAAACTTTCATTTTGGTACCTAAGATGTAAAATTTTAAACATTTAAATACTCGAATAACCGGTTGAAGCATTATCTGGTTATCATGTTGATGTGGCAAGTAATGTGATATCCAACTCAATATTATTTCCTGACGTTATTAGTGACATAGATTAATTTTAATCTAAAATTAGTTTTCCAACCAGTTAATCGAATACTTAAATGTTTAAAAGTTTAAATTCTAGATACCAAAATAAAAGTTTTAAAAGTACCTTACTCAAAATGGAAATTACGTTCTAAAAACACATTACTTTTTCATACAATTTATCCTCAATAAAATTTGTAAAGAGAGCCAAATTATATGTGATCATACATTAAATTTGGTCATGTTAATTAAATATAGTTTTAATTTACTTGTTATGATGTTATTATAAAATGCCTGAAGGATATGTTTGCAATGATTATAAGCAAGTCTTAATTCTGTCAATGTTGAATATCAATCCACATTTAGCAAAGAATATCAAATACATATTAATAATTGGTTTCTGATTTAAAAATCATAGTGAAATACTAAACAATAGGAATCATAGCTTCATTCCAAAACGATCTCTTTAGCCTACTTCTACATGTTATGGCTAAACTAAGTCTAGCCATCTCTTGCACTTTCGTTCCTCAAACATAGCCACTGATGGGATTTTTTCTAGACTAGTGTATTACACACTCGTACCCTACCAAGATTCACGAGTCTTCCGCCGATTGACAGAAATATCGATTAATAAATGGAGTCACCCATGATTCGGAAGTTCCATTTTCCACTGATGCAGGCAGATTGGGATCCCAGCAGTCAAACCACTGTCTTAGTTCCTCACATTCTCATGCTAACAATTGTACCATTTCCATTTTAACGAGGGCAGAGGTTTTCTCGTCTAAGAGCAACTCCAATCTTCACACAAAAAAAAAACACTAAATAGGTGGGCCCAAAACACAAAAAAACTCAACTCCGACCTTTTGCCATCCACCTCATCAACGGCAAATTTGCCGTTCATTTTCTTCTTCCAACAAAACTTTGGTGTATTTGGCGTGCGATTGGATCCAAAAGAACGGCAAAACCCGAGTTTTGCCGTTCGATTGGAGTGGCTTTAAGTTAACCAAAGTTGTAAATTTTATGGCATTTTAACTTTCTTGACAATACCGACTGTCCAATATCATATTTTAATGGGTACTTTAATTTTTTTCGTCAAGTTCAATGAAATCCCAATTCAACGAAACATATATAGTTTCTTTTAAAATAAAGAGGCTTATTAATCGGTATGATACTTTCTTAAATTAGTAAGATTTTAGTTCCAAGATCCTACTTCTGATGTATTTATAGGGCACATTAATTAACCGCCAGTAAAAGGACACATAAATTCTGGACCAATCCTACTTCTGATACTCGATCGTTTCCAGTCCAAAAACCTGTTAAATGAACAACTCAACAAAAAATAGCTCAAACTTAAATTTAAATGCAATTAAAAAGGCCAAAAATCATTGACCGTTTATGAGAATAATCTGATGAATTGCAGAATATGATAAATGAAGAGTCAGAAATCTCGTGTGGAAGTGCCGTTCACTGCATTCGATTGAACGAATATGCTACGTTTGCACAAAGATATCATCATTCTATCAACTAAAAAACCCAAAACTAGTTGAATTATAATACAAATCGACCATGGAATCCTGATTCCTGATTTTTGATAGAGTTAATGGAATAAGTGGAAAACAATATACAACTGGAACTAATTCCACTGGGCTTGGGCTTAGGAGCTGGCCCATCAAAATTTAACCCAAGTGTTACAATCGTTAAATGATTTCTAAAGGGATGGAATCTGTCAAAGGAGTTTGATGAAGGTTGCTCGAGAATTCAAGCTTCAAAACTTGTTTTGTATCTGCTCAGACTTATGAATGTAATCTCATTGATTCCTTTGTGTAAAGGAATCTCTGAAGTCTGACATGTGATTGAATTCATAATTCATCATTGCAGAAATTGAAGACAGACCATGTTCATAGCAAAAAATATCAAAAAAAACCAAATTGATTACACGAATCAAATCAAAATAAGCAGCAAAAATGGGATATGACATAATAAAAAACGAATTTGAAGATCAGAATTTGGTTAAAAAGTTGTCGGTCACGGTAAATTCAGAAACACGGACCAATTGGTTAATCATCATTTCTCCAAATTCACAAAGAACTATCAAATGTAAAATAATAGTAAAGTTTGTTTTTGAAATCAACATAGAAAGACCTACAAACAATAGATTAAATAACTGGTCATAATCAGAGACTTAAATACTAGTAATCACGACAAAATCGTCGATCATTTTGTTGCAGTTAACTTTCTCATCATATATGATATATAATATCATTGATTCTTATGTTTATAGGAGCATCTGAAGTCTGAAATGTAATTGAATCCAGAACTCATCAAATCCGTCATTTAACGCGAAGAACAAACCGATTACAAAACAGAATTCAATCTAAAAAGCAAAATAAACGTAAAGTTAGTCGATTATTCGAATCAAATCAGATTATCCAACATAATTTGGAGATCAGAGTTTGGTTAAAAGGTTGTCGGTCACGGTAAATTCAGAAACACGGACCAAATGATTCATCGTCATTTCTCCAAATCCACAAACAATCAGATGTAGAACAACTAGTGAGTTTGATTTTGAAATTGACATAGCAAGACCAACAAGCAACAGATTGAACAACCGTTCATCATCAGAGACTTAAATACTAGTAATCACGACCAAATCGTCGATCATTTTGTTGCAGTTAATTTTCTCATCATTTGATGAACAAAACAGCAATGGCTTCTTCGACATCGATAATACAATCATACAGAAAACAAATTCACAAAAATTAACAAAAAACCGATGAAGCTTGAATCGACATACCTGTGGCGATGCCATTGAGGTTTTGATAAACCCTAATCCGTGAGCTATGGAGTACCTGGTAGGCAGGTTTTATAGGCGTAGTCGTTAATAGAGCCCTAAAGCGAATTTGGGCTTTTGGCCCATTATAAATGGGCTAATGAATTGGCTACATGAGTTAACATATCACTCCCAAGCTTTTTCATAATCGGCCATAACCTGTCTCGGTCCCAACCGATCCCGGCATTAAAAAAAAAAAATTTAATTTTTTTAATGATATATATTTTTAATACATTATAAAAATTACAATTGGTTCACTCAAATACACTCTAAAAATACGTTTTAATATAATTAAAATTACATTGTCTTATAAAATACATTATAAAATTATTTGAAACTACATTTATTTATAAAATTATTTGAATTTTCGGGCCGGTCCCACGAAACTACCAAAAATCCCAACCGGTTCCGATTTTCGATTCCATAACCGATCCTTACCAGTCCTGAGCTGGGCCGGGCCAATTTGGCCATCTCTAATAAAAATACGTTTTAATATTAGAGATGGCCAAATCGGCCCGGCCAGGCCCGGGACCGCCGGAGGACCGGGACCGGGACTGACAAAGGACTGGCCCGGGACCGGGACCGGTAAGGACCGGTTATGGGACCGAAAACCGGGACCGGTTGAGGTTTTTGGTAGTTTCGTGGGACCGGGACCGGTTATGGGACCGACTATGGACCGGCCCGACCCGAAAATTCATATAATTTTATAAATAAATGTAATTTTAAATAATTATATAATGTATTTTTATAAGAAAACGTAATTTTAATTATATTAAAACGTATTTTTAAAATGTATTTGAGTGACTCAATTGTAAATTTTATAATGTATTAAAAGTTTATATCATTAAAAAAATAAAAAAAATCTTATTTTTTAATGCAAGGATCGGTTGGGACCGGGACCGGCGGCCCATAACCGGTTATGAAATACCTTGACCGGTCTTATCATTTTCGATCGGGACCGGTTATGGCCGGTTATGAGAAATGTTTGGACCGATTGGGACCGGCCCGGCCCAGGACCGGTTTTTGGCCATCTCTACTTGGGACCGATTAGGCCCGGCCAGGCTCGGCCCGAGACCGGTTTTTGGCCATCATTAATGTCAACTAGAGATGGTTAAAATGGATCCCACCTAACTTTGTACCCGTAGAGCCGGTCAGTGTTTTGGTCAGAATTGGGATTGGAACTGGTTACAAAAGGAAAATCTCTGGTCAAGATTAATTTAAGGGTTGTTTACCAAGCACTTACCCGGACAAGAGTCACTTGCCTTATTGGGTAACATTCTCAACCATCAAAATGATTGTGGTAAAACATCTTTTACCTGATAAGTACTTACCAAGTAAGAATCTTTTCTCATCACTTACTAGGTAAGATTTTTTTGGCCTTGCTATGCCTCTTATTGGGTAATATTTTCGGTCTTTGTCATCCCGGTAAGCGTTTACTCAGTAAGAGTTCGGTAAACAGCCTCTTAGGCTCGGTTTTTGTCCATCTCTAATGTCAACTATCATTTTGTTCGAATAAACTACCATTATTAGACATATTCAAATTATTTTTGACGAATTTCATATAACGCCTCCTGAATTTATAAAATAGCAGACAGTTTAAAACTTCCAAAATCATTTAAATTAAACAACTTTAATTAAAGAAAAATGCTTACAGTTTACAAATGAAGGAAGACAATATATACATAAGAGTTCTAGAAGGATAATCTAATCGTTGATGGGATTTGAATAGGTTAAAGTACTGAAATCATCAAGTTCAGTGGCGGATCCAGAAACTTATATTATTGGGGGCACAGTTAAGAGTGTCGAAACAAATTCTGAAACCAAATAACTCATTCGAACCAATACGATTTCGGGTTATTTGGTTTCCGGATTAAACGGTTCCGTTATCGAATAAATATAACTTATTCGGTTTGGTTTTCAATTAATTTTTGAATATTTTGGATAAACTGAGATATCATATTCCCATGTACATATTTTACTTTTCAGTTAAACAAAAGCAAATGAACACACTACACATTAATAGTTAGTAGCAAGAGATTAGAGGGCAAGAGGTCCATAACTTAGATTCAGTTAAAAAGAAATCAGATAGCAAAAGGCTAAGAAATCAAAAATAAAAGATAAACTAAGTAGCAAACCTTAAATCAAAATAACAAATTAAAGAATCCTAAGTCAGATAACAATTAAGAAAGAGAAAATTAACAAATAACAAATAACAATAATTATAAATCTATAAAACAATAAAATGCAAAAAGAAAGTTGGAAAAAATCAAAATAGTGATTAATCAAATCATTAGCATTATAGCAAACAAAAAAAGAAAAATAAAATGATTTTCAACAGATTAATAAAATGCTCTATTTTGGTGTTTGTTGGGGGCCTATGCCCCCTACACCTATAGTGTGCATCCGCGTGATCAAGTCTAATATCTTAAAAAGTAGGGTGACGCCTCTAAGCCATCCTATCAAAACTTATACAAAACTCCAAGTGTCACTCAGATCTCACTAAGACCTGATATACATGTTCATAAGAAAAAAGTGTTATGTTTAACGTCTAGTGAATTGAAACAGCTTTATGTTATAAACATAAGACGATTAAATTAACCACTACTTTAAATAACGACCCTTTTCATTTAGATCAGGATTCCATAAAAGGAACATATTTCCAAAACTCGTTATTTTCGAATCAAATACCTGTTTTAGAATAATAACAATATCGAAACTCACCCAAGACATGCATAAGACTCACGCTTCAAAACATCAAACACATGGATAAATCCCTGTATCCAGAACACCGAAAAATTATGCGGCAAAACATCCAACCTGTTTCCATCGAATGTGGCAGGAGCACAAAAGTAAGTCACTTATCAACGTTCTCGAGTTTCACCTTGGGCCGTGGATCCCTATATATGACTCTATTGAGTACCACCACAAGATTCCCACAACGACCCTAGTGTCTACTCGACCGCTATACGAGTTTCCACCACATAATTCACTGGTCCTCATATAAGGCTCCAACGAGCACCACCACAAAACCTAGCTCCTTATATGGCTCGTTATGGTGTCACTGTAGGCTACTAGCTTCGTATATGACCCAACAGGGTACCACTGCAAAATCTCAAACCATGACCTCGTGACCACTCACTAGAGTTGAGTATGGACATCGAAACTCTATAATACAACACGACAAACTCTTATGTCTATTGATCTAATGTATTACAGTCTAAAATTACATGAATTGGTCCATAAACCTTCACTTTATTGAAGCATGACATGAAAAGGTCCAAAATCGCATGATTTGTATTTACAAGATTCTCACCAAGCCAATAATAGACGTTTATCAAAGATCTACGTAATTATAACAACGATGCTCAAGTGCATCTACTAAAGAGTTACGTAGTTATAGCAATCTTCCAACCCAGATATGTAGCATAATTCGTAATAATACGATTTCGCTTTTTCGTTAGTTTTCTTTGAGCTTCGTTGATTAAACCGAGTAGCGTATCTAATTGACACAGTGCAAACCAATTTAACACAAACTGTTAACTTGATTACCTACTCCTTGAAAAAAATGATTTTCAACCTACCATATTTACCGATGTAAGTCAAGTTTATGAGTTTAAATCTTGTTGTGTGTTGTCAACACTTGCAACACGGTGTTATATGTCATAACATTCAAAATCTCTGTAAGTAACATTTAACATAATCACATAAGATATAAATTTTAATAAATATATTATACTATATGACTAGTTGTGTACCTGCACAATGCAGCGGGAGCCGTGAATTTTTAATGATTTTGAAGTTTTACTGGTTTTATTAGAGAAGATTTAACGATGAAGTAAGTTACACTTGGTCTTTACATATTAATACAATTTAAATAAATAAGAGTTATGATTCCAATTACAGTCTATTGATTAAAAAAAATTGTATGACAGTTTAAAATCCAACATATTTAAATGACTCAACAAATGTGTTCGATTTACACCAAGAGCAAAAAATTAGGAGAAGGAGACCGAGACCGAGAGTTCTAGAACAATTGAATGAGAGATAAATGAGATAACTTTTAATAACTCATGGTGAATATTAGTTTGAATCTCACATTGGGGATGATGATAAGATATAGATGTATGAGAAGATGAAGACATGAGTGAAATGTGTCAAAAGTATATTGGGAACATGAAAAGCTTAGGTAATAATGTGTATTTTATTAACTTGTACTATATGTTATTTTAATTGTAAATTACAAAAAATTAAGACTGAATGCATAAAGTAGTAGTACTTAATGCATTATGAGTTGTTTTTAAGACTTTTAAAACTTTGTGCATAAATGTATAGTATTTTGTGTATTAAAAATTGTTTTTAAGATTTTGATAAATATAGTTTATAAGATAGTATAGATATTTTTCTAAACTTTGATAAAATATAATATAATATCATATTCTTTTTGAATGAATATTATGGAATTATATATATATATATATATATAGAGAGAGAGAGAGAGAGAGAGAGGTTGGTTATTATACAACCTTTGA